GGTTGCATAAAGTTCTTACTGTGACTTATTTTTCGCAATTCACACGACTCTAGCGAACATCAATTTTTAATACTCCGTGGCTTTGAAAGGTTTTGAATTTTCAAGATTTTTACTTGAGAAGCTAGTTTCTGATGGCTCTGTAGAAGTCCGATCAAGTGGTTTTGAAGTACAGTGCATGGCTTTCTACACAGAGTATCGAGAAGGCCTAATGGTAGTAACTGTGGTTTTGGTGCTCAACCTATACTTTTGGTGAAGATACACGTCATAGGATCAGGCGGCCCATTCCCTCTCAGCAATGGTACGTTGGTGCTTCGGGGACAAGTTCATGGTTGCTTTGTGGCGAGCAGCTAACCAAATGAGAAATGAGTCGGCTTATATACATATAGTCCGTTTCATTTCCAATTTGGTGTGAAAATTTTTGCGGACAGAAAAGCCTTCTGGGGGAATTTCAACGGTTTTGGCTCAATGCCGCTGTGTATTAAAAAGGTTAGCAACTGGTTATGGCTCCGGGGCGGTAAAAAAACCTTTTCAAAAGTCACAGGTAACGTATAAATTTGCGTAAACCACTATCAACAAGCTGTTCATAACCAAGCTGTTATTTTGATATTTTAAACAACGCCCGCTTTGAAGGCTAGCGATCATAGTTCTTAAGGCTCTACTAAATAAAAAAAAACAAGAAGTTACTAGGCGTTCAGTAAATGTATCCTAGCCAAGCGCTGCGAACGATATCACTGTTTGAACACGAATAACTTGCGGTAAAGAAATTTAGCCTTTAAAAAACCCAATTCGCAAACCCTCCGCACTCAACACCTCACTACAGAAATTCCAAGCGCAGTTCTTGTAAGGAAGCCACAGTTGAACGAAATTGGAAATATGGGTTTTGTTTAGAAAGTATTTTAAAATTATCTGATTTTCAGACCAGAAATGTGTCGTGTTGTACGTTGTGGTCATATTACTCTGTCTGTAATACCCCGCAAGTTCCTCTAGATCAGGCGCTATAGATCACTGTTCTCTTTTTGTCATTCTGACTATTCTATTAATCATTGTCTAATAAACGTCAATAGCTGAGCGAACGCAACAAGAGTGGTGGTAAGGGTAAGGTCAGCTCAAGTGAGAGTAATTCAAAGGAAGTGCACTTTGCCACCTGTTCTAAGACAGTTCCTTGATTTTCTTGATGTTTAACAATTAATGCAACAGTTATAGATGATTTAAAAAGCATACTGAACTTTCACTAGCTTTCACCTAGTGCGTTCTGTTATTGGTGCGTATTGACATTGTTTTTCATACTTATTTCAATTTTATATTACAGTTTTTCCTGGAGTTATGCACTTTTGGTTCTGAGAATTGCGTCGAGTTGCGCGAGTAAAATCTGCAGTGAGGTGTGAGTCATCAAGAAATGCAATTCCGCCGTATTGCATCAGACAACTGGCCATCGCAGAGCATTATGTTCTTACAAAATAATGAAGTATGGAAGTGGATTTTGCGCACGTTACCAAAGACCGCCTTTCAGAAATTGGAGAACCACTTTCCAAGTCAAATTCGAGGCTTCTTGTTATTTCATTCTCGGGTGGAAATAGTGAAAGCTTTAGGTGCGTCGTTGACAGTTCGCAGCTTGAGTCGAAAAAAAAAAATGTTCTCCCAATTATAAACTTTTTTGATTTCTTTGTGTCGTTAGCTTTTTGGAAACTTCTTGAAGTGCTTTGCCGATGAGTTTTGAGTCTGTTGCATTATTGCCAATGAAAGCTCTTGGTTTGCTTTTTTGCGCCACAAGCCTATGAAAAAAGTTAAGAAAACTCTGTGATAATAAGTTCATCGTCATTTCCACTCCAGTTCTTCGTAATAAGAGGCAGGGATTTATATAAGTTAGAAGGGTTCAGTAAACAAGCAGAGCGATACAAACCGAAAAATAGCCATAACAGTAATTTTTTCTTTAAAAAATTTTGTAAAGTTGTTTGAAAGTAAATAAACTCTAACTAATTGTCTGTTACGAAAGCAGTAGAGTTGAAAAGTTTTACAAGAATTATATAATTACAAATTAAAACAAAATTTTGTTTGAAACAGAGCCTCTAAGACTTGCGAAAGCGCTAAAATCCTGCTTCAATTAAGGGGTTTTTGCAGTCTGCTGTCACTAATCTTACCGTAACTCTCGATTCCGTAAAGATTCTGCCTTGTGCTTTTTATGTTCTGTAGAAAACATGCCTTCAAAAAATATTTTTTCAAAAAATTTAAAATGTTCGTTTATGAGAAAAAGCGTTTAAATTTTCGTTTTTATTTTTCTCTAGCATAAAGTTTGCTAATATAACGCTTCACTCTGAATCTGCAGGAGACAAGCTTTGAAACGAAGAAAAAGTCAGAAAATTACGTTGCAAATGAAGAAAAGCACAATCCCCTAAATGTGACCATGTCAGCGCACTTTTCAAGGTAAACTCTTTCGAATTCAAAATCCGGTATTAAGTGCTACAAGCTGGCAAAAAATTAAAAAAATATGAGAGGTCGGGGTGCAAACTTGTGTGACTTGGCAGTCTAAGCCCAAGCCTAAGCCTAAGCCTAAGTCTAAGCCTAAGCCACAGACACCTGCTATAAATATCCGATATGCTTTAGACGTCGGAAATTTCTTTCAAAAATTGTATTTTCACTCCAAAATATTAACCGATTATTATTTTGCAAAATTGCAAGGAAAAATTTCCATTCCAGTGTTTCTTAGGTTCTAGACTCTTAGAATTATGTCCATAGTGTATTTGTCAGTTTTGGTTGCACAAACTCATCTTGTTGCTCCTTCTTTGAAACTGCATGCCGTGATATCCCAGCAACGTAAGTATTCTAAGGTAAAGCTTAAAAACCTACTGCTTCACCTGGCTAGCCTTGAATTTCTCGGGTTTACTTTAAAAAATCAAATTAACTGGGCAAAGCAGTAGATTTTTAGACTTTTTGTGACTGCAAAATGTATGCCACTGTGTAGTTTAAAAGAAATAAAGTACAAAAAGTAGATGGCACTGGAATGAACGCTAGTGCTTACGTGTAAAATAATAATTAGTTGATCTTTTAAAGTAAAATGCAACTTTTGTAACAAATTTCTAACGTCTAAAGCACACCGGATTTTTGTAGTGGGTGTCTGCGCCTTTCAGAAAGGGCTCAAGACGGTTTCGTCATGTAAAATACATGCGATTGCTGTGAAAAGAGTGGTTTCTTTTTCAGTTTTACATTCCTTTCTGGCCCATAGCTCTCGATACCAAAAAATCTCCATCACCAAAATTAGATACTTTTTAGAGCAAAAATTGTAAACAAAATATCTTTTTTAAGAAATTTTAAGACACATTTTTTTCTGTCTGAAGTATTACTTCAGTTATACGTACGTGATCTTTTATGAGAATCAAAGCGTTTTACGAGCAATTAAAAATCAGGTCATGAGAAACCCAATAAATGAAAAACTGTTAAGTTCTACAGAAAACAGGCTAAATTACAAGTCTGAAAAGGTGGGTACGTCAATCTGGCAAATTTTGCAATTTTAAGGAGTGTAACTTGGCGGAATTCACATTTCCAAGTTTTTTGGCTTTCTCTATGCTGGTCTAGACTTTACTTATTAGAAAATTTATAATAAATTCGGGACATAAACGAAAAAAGTGTGTCACTTAGCATGGAATGGTCTATATATAATTACTGGTCAGTCGGCTGTGCATTATCACGGAAACTGCTATAAACTGAATCTTAACGCTTACCGAAAAATCCGATTCTGACCGTGTTTGAGTTCTGGTTCCGTACCTAGTCTTTTTCGTATGAGTATAGAATTCTGTAAATTTAATGTACCTCTTTGAAGGAATTTTTTTAGCATTTTGTAAGCGAATATGTAGATTGATTTGTTGCTGGAAACTTGAAAATTTTTTACTTTTATATAAGCCGGAATTTTTATTTGCAGATTTTATGTGGTCTGCCAATCGTTTTCTATAATTTTTAGTCAATGCTTGGAGGCAGTCACTGTTAAGTTTCTCATTTGGTGCCGATCAAAAGTTTTAAAAACCTAATTGTTTCAGAAAAAGTTGCTGATGTTTCTGGTTAGAAAAAAAGGTTTCTTCTTTTTGCAAACTGATCTACTTTCATTTATTAAATATATTATTTTGTTTTTGCTAAGAAGAACATTTACCGCTCAAACGTTTTTTTTTTAATGGTACAAAATTTAACGAAATGCGTACAGTTCTAATTTCGTCTCTTAACAGATACTTTATTTTTGTACAAATAGAGCAATACTTTTTAAGTGACTTTATTTGCATATTTTCTCATACTTGAGGGTCATACTTTATACTTGTCGCTAAACTGGGTATTTTTTGCTTTTGTTTTAAGTTAATTCTAAATTTGAGACAATTTGATATCAACTTTTGATTTAACACTGGCGCTATTTTCAAAGCTTTATAATCGTTGCATAACTCTTCAGCTTCAGATTTTGGCATGGCTCAAATTTATAATTGTTTTTGACGTTTTGACCTGTTTCCCAGTAATATCGGTAATGATGTCTTGTAGATTTAATACTGAACTGTTCTCAAGCACTCTTGCTCAAGAATCGGTATTGGTAATCGTGTTGCTACTGCCATTATTTGGCATCAACGAAGAAAATAACAATTTTACTTGTTAAAACAGTTACATCTCAATATATTAATTGTTATACACTGTGAAATAACCAAAAAAAAAACTAGCGGTTAAATATTTTTCAAAGAATGGTCAGAGTGATGACAATTCAGTTTGGTACTTCAATACATTTCAGTTAAGCTGCAAAGAAAATTTTAATTTATATAACAGTAGCAAACGGTGTTTGGAAGAGTATAAAGGCTGAATGATAGATTATAAAATTTATAAAACAGTGGAACGGAAGTTCTTATATGGGAGATATGACAGTCCATTATGTTTTTTTTTTTTTTTTGAAAGCTTATATAAAAACAAGTTATCAGCAAATCGGTGCAATAAAAAGATTTAATTGTCCAAAACTACAGTGGATAAAAACTACAGTGAACAAAAACTACAGTGAACGGAAACTACAGAGAACGACATTGTTTGTATAAGAAGTCGCTCATTAATGGGAGGTGATTTGAGGGCGAACTGAAAGACAGATGAAATGGAAGTTTGAAAAACTGTTAGAGACTAGTTATAATTTGGCAGCTTCATACACAGATTCGAAACTCTCTGTAAAAGCTTTTTGATATAAAAAATTTTTTCATGTTCTTCTGAAAACTAACGCCGACATACCACGTAAGGTTTGATTCTGTTGAAAAATTCTGCAATTCTAGTCTCACTGAAGCTGTTGATTTCGAGCTTTTGAGCTCTTTGTTTCCACTCACCGAAATCTGTACTACCCCTAAACTTAACTGCTGGCGTAGCTGGGGAGAAAGAAAAAATAAAATTCTCCTGGTCACAACGGTTCCACATCAGAAGAACATGATCGACTCTCTTGAGCCTTTTTCTCGAGCATTTAGAGAACCAGTTTCGTCGAAATACTGTGCATACTGCAAGCAGTCGGTATCAATTAAAGCATTAAACCGCACATTACACAACCTGATTACGTCCAACAACCTCAGAAAGTAGTATAATATTCAAAACTAAGAAAGAAATTGTACACTCAGGTGGCTAGTTCAGAAGAGTAATTAGAAGAAAAGCTTTTCAAAAATATTTTTTCAGCTATTCCAAAAAAATTGCTGTTTTTGCTGGACTTGCAGTCATTAGTATTCAAAAAGTATTCGGGACTGTCTTGTATATGTCAAATTCTACAAAATAGTACACAACTGACCATAAAGAATATACATTTTTTTCAATCCTCTTAACAGTATCGCTTTTGGTGAAAACGCTAAACTTAAAATTACTTAAACGCCATTCTTTAAAGAACTAGAAACCCTCAAGTTTTGAAAATAAATAAAGTAAAAATGATCAAGCTGTTAATGTTTACCGCATCCTCAATCCATCTAAAAAATTGAACGTTGCATGGTACGTATGGCTGCCTCAGACGATCTTGTACCTCCAAAAGTCGCCTTATGTCTTCCAGAGTAATCCTTTCTCTATTTGGCCTAAAATAGGAGAAAAAAATATACTTTGTACATTTTTAGATTTGACGGTAAATTGATTAAACCAAGCCGGGTTGAGCGTGAAGAGATTTGTTTCTATTTCAGTAAAATAAATAAAAAAATTCTTTTAATAAACAGCAATTAATTAACAGTTTCACTTAAACAATGATTAAATGAAAACGTATTTTGTTGCATCTAACCCCGTTTTTTTCATGGCAGTAATGTATTTCATCCACTCAAACAGATCATCTCCAATAACAGCAAATCCACGCCGAGCTCCTTTGATTTTTCTGCCAAAGTAATGTAGTCTGGTAAAGGCTCGTTTCAGCGTTGAGCTGCACAAATCCAACGAGGCTGTTATGACAGCTAATCCAACTATTACGTAGGTTACAACTAACTAAAAATAAACTTACAACTAAGTTTTTTTTCTTAACGATCTAGCAGTGACCAACGTTGAGTGTGTTTTGCTTCATTTAATCGTCAAATTTGGAAGAATAATCTAGTCGACAAGTTGAAGCGTAAAAAACTATGCGTCAAATTAAGTTTTTCTTCAACTGGTCAACAGTTTGGCTGAATGCAATTTAGAGAACCACATAATGTATTTCAGCAAAAATATCGACAAAACTACTATATGCTGGAGGCAGTTTATTATCAAAAATTATATGTCTTATGTATTAATACGTAACAGATAAGAGTTTTTAGAGGCATTCTGTAATGCTGCACTACAGATACTACAAAGAATTAACTGTCACATTTTGCCCTCAATGTTTCATTAATGATAAGTTTATTAGAATTAAAAGTTGATTTTTTAAAATATACAGTTGTAAACGATAAGTGGTGTAAAATAACCTACCAGTAAATAGAAGTTACTTCTAACATAAATATTGCCTAGTCCAATTGTTGTTATTGTATTGAAAGAAAAAAATAGGCCATGCATAAAAGACCTAAATAGATAAAAATTTCTTTAAATAATTTACCTTAAACATCGTCTATCTACTTGTTTTGCTTTTTGCGGCCATTTTGTATGCTACCATTGTGAAATTGTTACAACAAAGATATGTGAAGATATTTGACTCAAAGTTAGTTGACTGTTAGCGAGATAAGTTGTTCAAAAAAAAAAAAAAAAAAACAAACCATATAGGACCCTTCTCAAAAGCGTTGAACAATAAGCTGCCTAAGACACAATAACCTAAGATAAGAGCAAAATATGACACAAGCGGTAACTGCAAACGATCGCCGTCATCATCGTCGACAATACCGACGTTCCGTTTCTTTTCTTTTTCTCTTTAAACAAAAAAAACAGTCTGTAACACTGTCTGTAAGCAGATTAAAATTAAGAATTAAGAAAGATGCAAAAATTTACATATGATCTCAAAAGCAGTAAAAAATAAACGCATTTCACAGCAATTTCACAATTTTTTCTCTGAAAAATCTGAGAAAAATTTAAATAAAAAAACAAAATTCTTTTGCTTTTAACAAATTCCAGTTATATGCAAACTATAAAAAAGAATCTGGAACATTAAAGAAAAAGAGCGTAATCGACACATTACAGTGGTATTCCATTAGTTTTTTTGTATGATAGTTTGAAGTCAGTAAAAAAAGATGACTTGTACAAAGATATTTGCAATCAAAACCTTCATTTTCGTTCGCACTAGTCGTTTTAAAAGAAATAATTAAAAAAGTAATAAAATTGACTGTTCTCTTCTGTTTTTCCTTTTTCGACTGAACAACATCTCTAATAATTGTCTAAGAAGGCAACAGAAACAAAAAATGACGTTCATTTATCTTCCAGGCTGTAATTACTGTCTCAGTATTAGGGCTGTCATTCAACGTACTTCTTCTAAAGTATTCATAAAGCAGAGAGAAGATTGATAAACTAAAACAAAATAGCAACTTTTTTTACATCACTGTGAAATTCTTGACAGTTTAAAAGCAGTTTTTTTAAGCGATATGTAAACTACTGCTGCAACAGATAGGTTTAGTCGGTTTTAGAAACTTTAATAACAGCACATTCAAGAAAAATTTACTTTAAGTATTATTTAAAGGTCGGTCAACTACCAGAAATAATTTTGTACAATATATCAGTAGAAAAATGATTCTTACTTCAAATCAATCGAATCTTCATCATCATTGTTGGTTTTGATATAACTTCGCACTAAACTGTAAATGCTGGAAATCCATGAAGCCATTTGTAAAACTTTGCTGTATGACTGAATAACAATTTCGGATAAAAATTTGCCAATGTCTGCTGCAGTGATAAACATCAACGGAATACCAAGAAGACCAAAAAATACAGTAAAAATTCGACCACCATCAGTATTTGGTGTAACATGATCGTATCCTTGAAATAGAGGTTACGTAACTGGTTAATTTGAGAAAAAAAAAGTAATTTTTAAAAAGTCAAATAATAAGATAGCTTCAAATTAGAGATACGTTGCTAATTATACTTAAGTTAAGCAATGTGTAAAGAATAAAACTGTTGCATAAGTAATACAAAAGTTTAGCAGTTTATTAAACACTATTCACACCAAATACTGCTCCAAACACTTCGTTTTCCTACTGTGAATGCAAGCTACTATTATTTACAAAAAAAGTATCTTACGATCTACCAGTTGTTTTCTGAAGAAAAAAAGTTGAATTGCAGTTCAAATGTAATATAATTTAGACCTGTAGAAGTGATTACAGTAAGTGCATAAAGAACCGCAGCGGCGAACGACCATCGTGGTACCATCTGCTCTTCTTGAACAATCCAAGACTGCTCGTTTGCTGCGAATCTGTCGTCGGTTTCGTGAGCCCAGGAAAGGTTAACCAGGATAGGCCAAAGACTCCTTTCTACCTATTCTGAGTTATGTTTCACTTAACTTGCATTCGATTACTTACATTTTTTTGTTTCTTCTACCGTATTTTGTATTATTGAATAAGTTGCTTGAAACAGTCATTTCAGCACAATACTAAGTCATTTATCGCTAGTTGACGCTGTACTAACAGCATCGATGTTTCTCAACGTCTTTGTCCAACAAAATTTTAAACAAAGAAATTGTTTATAAACTTTCAGACATTATAATGTAATATCTGTAAAAGATTTCTGCAGAAAGTTTCCATTATTTCCTTATGCATTATTACAAACATAAACTCCCTTCTAAAGTATTTACATAGCAATTTTTTGTAGGTGAAAAAGCTAGTTGTTGAAGGCTAAGACAAAAAGCTTTTTTAACAACAAACAATGTACAAAAAAAAACAAGTAAACTTTTGGCGATAAATATTAAATATTTGATACAGAAAAGTCTTATTACTCAATGACTCTAAATTTAAAATTCAGAAGTTAAAAAAAGAACATGCAGAGTAGAGATTTACTCTTCCAGTATTTCTTTTTCTGCTCTTACTTAGCACTGATTTTTGTAGCTGGCGTTCATTTGATTTTTCCCGGTATCTTGAAGAACTGCAACTTTTCAGAACTTTTCCCCTACCCGTAAAAGATGCGCAAAATGTATAGAAGCTCCTTGTAAAGCCTTAGAAAAAACCCGAACGACGCCGAAGCGATAGATAAGTAAACTGTAGCAGGTTAATATAATTAAGGCTTTTACTGTTGTTATACGTTTTTTGGAAATATTTTAAGAAGATCTTTTAAAGTTCCAAGTACCATTTCCCTGGAATAGGTGCTATTGTAGTCTCCGTGACATAACGATGACGCTTCATTGATCACCAGTTCGTACAAATCCAACACCTTACGAAGCTTCATTTTTCGACTCTGAAATAGACAGTAGAATTTGTTTTTTGCATTAGCAATAAACATACACCTTCCCATTTCTTCTTTTCACTAAAATTGATACAGGAAAGTAAATAACTAATTATTCAAAAGTAGTCATAAAGCAAGTTTTGAAAATAGATATCTGCAATTACATCTGAAAAAATCTAAGTCTAAACTAGTAAAGAAAAATTTGTACAGTATTTCAGTAAAATGACAATTGTAATGCCCCAAAAAAGATTTGTTTTTTTTCTTTATCTTAAAAGTTATAAAAAAACAGGTTTTTCTAATCGAAGTAAAAGAAAATATAATAAAATAATATCGAAGAACGATCAATAATTTGATTTTTACCTAAATCACTTAATCTAAAGAAAATATCTTTCCTAACTTCTGCTCTGTTATTTCTTTTAAAAAAATGAGCTTCAGTCCTTTTTTTTTTTTTTTTTGTTTTTGAAATAAATTACTCTTTAAATACTTCAGTTATTATATCTGTAAAAACAGTTTTCAACCAAAATTACAAATTACAATATCAGTTTCATTTTTTTTCGCAAAACAGCCAGATTTTTTGTTAAACATTTTTTATGTTTTTCTCATCCGTTAAATCGCATAAAAAATACAACAACAAAAAATGCGGTATAAACACCAAAAAATTATGGCAAACAGTTAGGAAAAGGTCATTGAGATGATGGCTTTAGTTACAATTAATCTTATTGATAAGAATCTCTCAAAAAAAAAAAAACGAAGATACAAAAAGCTGAAGAGGAAACAAAAATAATAAATAATTGTTTAATTGTATAGCTGTCAGTTTTTCTGATCCTTTTTTTCAGCATTAAATTTGTAATACAGTAAGGCAAAAAAAAAAAAAGAAAAAAATGAAGAAAAAGTTTGAAAAAAATTTTCTTTTTTTTCACCTATTATTTTTTAGTCGGTAAAAAAATAGCTTTTTTTCCTTTTTTTTATTTCTTTTTCTTCTACCTTCTTTAATGATTCTATAAACAAATAACTATTACCCACGTTTAGTTCACTTTCGGCTTCCAGACGTATGAATATAAAAGCTCCAAATGCTATATAACTAAGAAGCAACACATTCAGCCCAATATGAGGTAATAAAATTTTTAGCAACTGCAACAATAATAACACCAACAGAATGAAACAAATAATGTTGAAA